GACCCCCATCGCCGATACAGTGGACACCCATGCCAAGAAACACCCTGGTCGGCTCCAGGATGCCCTCGGGTTTGCGATGGAGAGCTCCAGGGTTGAGTCTCCTGTGGAAGGCCTCGTGTGGTCGAGCTCCCACTGTAGGGGTCTGATAGCCCCTACAGTCGGGGCGCTGAAGAAGGAACCCTTTTCGTTGGGGAGGGGCTCGGTGTTCCTTGATTGTTTCAAAGTTTGCCCAGGGTTTTCCTGGGCTTTCCATAGGAAGTCGAGGTTGAACTTATGGGAAAAAGGGGCCTCGTTCCTTATTTAGGGTTCCTTAGGTCAACGCCTCGACTGTACCCCTCCCAGGAGCGTACGGTTTCGCTGCGAAGGGGGCCCTGTCGCCGATGCATCGGCGATGCCTCGCCGCTTCCAGGCCGACATTTCCCCTCCCCGAGTCGGTCCCCTCCCGTCGCGGCCCCTCGGCAGGGGAGAGGGCTCGGCGCCTCTGGGGGGGTCGTTTGCCGTGCCAGGCTGGGGAGAAGATCGGCGCCTGGGTGGCGTCGTCTGTCGTGCCAGACGGGGGAGAAGGTCGGCGCCTGGTTGGTGTCGCCCGTCGCTCCAGGCCAGAAATGGGGAGATCTGCACTGTGGGTTTAGGCCTTCTACATGGGGTCGGAGTTTCGCAGGCCTAGAGGTTGGCACCAACACCAACATCGGCGGTGTGCCTCCACCGAGGGAAGAAGATCCCGATCTCGGTGATGGTGGTAATATTCTGGCTTCCACGGTGGCCGAAGTATTTCCACCACGAAATCGAGGATCATCTTCCCCCTGTGGAGGCACCCCCCTGTGTTGGTGTTGGTGCCCATTTTCAGGCCTCCAGGAGTAGATAGGGGTCGGAGGATCGCGCCGCATCGCCAATGCATCGGCGATGTGGCTCGATGCGGAGCCCGATTTTCTCCACGCCGACGTCGCCGATGCCTTGGCGATGCGGCGCGACCCTCCGTTGCCATCTATTCGGACCCCTATCTAGGAGGCCTCTAGTGGGGGCGTTGGTTAAGGAATGTGTCCAGGAGGTCGTCGGACCCTGGAAGGTTCCTGATCCGATTCGGGCGACGGTGATGCCCATGGCCAGTCCACGATGGAGGTTCCACCAGCTCCAGGACCCCGTGTTCCTTCTCCAGTGTCCCTTTCAGTGCCCTCGCCGCAGCGGGGCTCCTCCTCCTCCTCCTCCTCCTCCTCCTCCTCCTCCTCCTCCTCCCCGAGGGACGGGTGAGCAATCTGTGCTGCCGCTCGGCGGGCGAGCGCGCCACTCGACGTCCTCTCCGGCGCCGGGCGGCCCAGTGCGCGGGCGCCCCGCGCCGGAGCCCCGGAGAGAGGACGAGGGGCGGCTGGCAGGAGGAGGAGGAGGAGGAGGAGGAGGAGGAGGAGGAGGAGGAGGAGGAGGAGGAGGAGGAGGAGGAGGAGGAGGAGGAGGAGGAGGAGGGGGGGGCGGCTGGCCAGAGGGGCGGCAGCGGCGCCGCAGCCGTCCATCGCCAGCGCGGAGCTTCTGCGGAGCTCTGGGTCTGCCTGGCGACCCGCCGGCTCGCACCGTGATGGCCGCGGCGTCGAGGCCTGGTCGCCGCGCCCCCCCCCCCCCCCCCAATCAATCGGGGATGGACGGACCCCCCTTTATAGTAAAACGCGGTTTCGTGAAGACGACCCGAGGCCCAAACCTGGCGGGCGCGGGCCTGGAGAATAGCGGCCACGGCGCCCTCTCGAGAACCGAAAGCGGACAATTCACTAATCGACGTGTCACTGCTGGGGGTTCTCTCCACCCCCGAGTCAGGCGCCCGTCGCCCGCCCGCCGGATCGTCGGGTCGGCGGGCGGCGGCGCGCGCCTCGCGAGAGCGGCGTGCTCGGGGCGTGCAGCGGGAGGGCGAGCAGGAGCTGGGGCGCGGCCAGGCACATGTGAAGGGGCCCCATGACACACAAATAAATACACACAAATAAAAATATTCCCCATATTTTCCCATATTTTTTGGATTTTCGTCTTCCCCCCCACTTCCCATATTTTCTATTTTTTCTGGGGGATCGACGATTAATTGTGTCTGTATGTTTTTTCCCCTCCTGAACATGGGCGGCGACATCCGAACGCCCTGCCCTCGCCGAGCAACGACCGAGGCAGCCCTGTGGGCGGCGTTTCGCAGGGCCTGGAGCTCGTCGAAGACGCGGCGGAGTCCAATCAGAAGGGAACAAAACACACAGACACGATGAGTCGTCGATTCCCCCGAAGATATGGGAAGATATGGGAAGGGGGGGGGAAGACAAGAACCCAGAAAGTATAGGAAAATGTGGGGAATATTTTATTTGTGTGTATTTACTTGTGTGTCCTGGGGCCCATTCATCCAAACCCCACAGGCGGGGCTGATCAGGAGGGCGACCCTGCCAAGTCAAGGGTGCACTGGCGTCCCGTGTTTTTCGCGATCCGTGCCTCCTTGCATTCCCACGGCAGTGTGGCCCTCGGAGGGGTAGCGTGTCCTCTCGCGTGTCCTCTCCAATCCGCCCCGCGTGCACCCCCGCCTCCCATCGATCCAGGAGAATCGACGATTGGTGGGGGTAGGGCTCGGACCCCGCCACCCCAGCGGAGGCGGGGCAGGGCGCGCGGAGCCTCCGAACACGAAGAGACAACAAGTGCATGAGCATGAACTTTCAACGGTCCGCGTTCCTCGTCTCGGCCGTCCTCGTCCTCATCCTGCTCGCCTGCTCGCCCTCGCCTCCTTCGCCTCCGCCTCCGCCTCCGCCTCCGCCTCCTCCTCCTCTTCTTTCTCCTCCTCCTCCTCCTCCTCCTCCTCCTCCTCCTCCTCCTCCTGTCGAGTCCGTGCGGATTTCCTGGATCTGCGCTGGAGCCCATCGCTATCATCACGCAAGGCATACCGTATCGCCAGGGCTGTCGCCGCGACACGCCATGCAACAGTTTTCGACCGTGACCTTCTTCGATGGCCATCCCTCACCCGTGCGGCGGGTTGCATCCTTGGCCCGCAGGGTGCGAGCTTTCTTTCGGGCAAGGCGCAGACGATGCCAGGCCGGCGGGTTGCCCTTGCGCATCCGCGGGCGCATCGTCCTCGTGATCCCCGTTCGCAGGTGGACGGGCGTGCTCCCTGCGTGTTGGTAGCGGCGCCATGCGCCGAGGTGTTCGCGCGATCAAGCAGGGGACCACTACGCACTTCCACTGCTGCTGCCTTCTGCGCCTGGCGTCTGCTTGGCAAGGATGGGCTCTGCAAGAGCAGCGCGCCGCGGCAGTCGCTGGAGCCTGGGCGCCTAGGTTCCTGGCACCCGTGTCTTGCATTAAGTCGGGCATTTCCCTCTACAGGCAGAGTGTTCAAAAATAGTCAAAAACAGTCAGGGGGCGATTTTTCCCGACCATTTTTGATTCTGTTTGGGTATTTTGTTGGCTATTTCCCTACCTAGGCTCTGCCTAGAGGGTTCTTATTCTCTTTCTTAAAGGGGCCTGGCAGTGCACACCGCCCTGGGCGGTTCCCCCAGTATCCGCCCCGCGGTTCCCCCAGTTGCGCCCCCTGGGTTCACCCAGCTAAGCTAAGCAAAGCTTAGCTTATCTCATCTTAGCTTAGCTTAGCTTAGCTTAGCTTAGCCTAGCCTAGCCTAGCCTAGCCTAGCTTAGCTTAGCTTAGCTTAGCATAACTTAGCTTAACTTACCTTAGCTTAGCGCAGCGCAGCGCAGCATAGCGCAGCGCAGCATCAGCACAGCATAGCATAGCATATCATAGCATAGCATAGCATTGTGTAGCATAGCACAGCGCAGCATAGCATAGCATAGCATGTGTGTGTGTCTGTGCGCAGGCAAAGCAACAACAAACTCAAGCAACAGCAAACTAAACGCAAAGCAAACGCAACAGCAAAAGCAAGAGCACGAGCAAAGGCAAAGTCAAAAGCAAAGGCAAGAGCAACATCAACGGCAATGCAAAGCAAACGCAACACCAATGCGAAAGTGTAGATGTAGATGTAGATGTAGGTGTAGATGTAGATGTGGATGTAGGTGTAGATGTAGATGTATCTGTAGATGTAGATGTAGGTGCAGATGCAGGTGTAGATGTACATGTAGATGTAGATGTGAGTTTCGCTGTTGATGTTGATATAGATGTAGATGCAGGTGTAGCTGTAAATGTAGCTGTCGGTGTAGATGTAGATGCTGCTTTCCTAAATGCTCCAACTCCTAGGTACGGTCGCACTGGGATAATTTTTAGATGTTTCTTGCAAAATCCGCCTGTAGGAGCACATGCCCGACCTAAGCCCTGCACCGTCGTGACAGCTGACCGACCTCGGCTGCTGACGCCGAGATCCACGGCATTCCTGGTGCTGGAAGCGGCGCTTTGCGGGAGCGCGCCGGCTCGGCTGAGCTCGGGGAGGCCAGAGGTCGACACCAGCACCAATATGGAAGATGATCCAGATCTCGGTGATGGTAGTAATGTTCGGGCAGCCTGGGTGGCCGACAGATTACCACCAACACCACAGTCTACGACCACCCACACCCGGTGTTGGTATTGGTGCCCATCTCCAAGCCTCCCATAGCCCTTGAGATAATCCTAGGGCCCCGGCATGTGCCAGAGACCCTCGCCGCGTTCCCCGCGGCTCCTCTCGTGGGCCCCCAAACGGTGCAGGGGTGACCGCATAGTTTTGGGACTTGGGTCGTTCTGCGAGGATGTCTCGGGCGACTTGGGCCTCCGAGGTCCCAGAACGGTGCGGTGACGGACCGTGCGGTGAGGTTTTTGGGGATTCCGATGTCACCGTGGCCGCACCGTTCTGGGATCCCGTTTTCACCGCGTTCCTTCCCTTCGAGCGCTCCTGTCGTCGAGTGTTGTGGGCATGTGAGCACATGCGGTATGAGTCCAGCCTGTCGGAATCTTCTACATCGGCCGATGCCCCCCGTTGGTGGGGCGGCGGCGACGACGTCGCGATTTGCGCACGCGCTGTTCGGGAGTTGGGCGCCGACAGCTGCTCCCAGGCGGCGCCGTGGCGAGTTGTGACGTGACACGGAGTCGAGAGTAGTGGGGTGGGGCGTTATCGCGACGTACCTAGAGTAGCGGGCGTTATCGCGACGTCGGCGGATGCGACGGCGGCGGCGGCCACGGAGGCGACGGCAGCGACGATGGCGGCGCGCGAGCAGAGGCTCGGCGGCCTCGACGGGAACTGGCGCGGCATCAACCAGAGCGGCGAGCTGTCCATGAAGGCCGCGACCTCCCCCTCCTCCTCCTCCTCCTCCGCCTCCTCCTCCTCCTCCTCCTCCTCCTCCTCCTCCTCCACAAGAGGTCAATGTGAACACTATTCCCCTTTCCCGAAAATGTCCCTGGAGTCGCCCACCTCCCTTCGCGTATCTGGATACAGACAGCACCGGATTTCATCAAATTTTGGTTGTTCCAATGTTTTTTTCCGGTCGGAGCGTCCTCAGTGTCTCAAGATGGTGCTCCAGCTGCGCGTTGGCCCCATTTAGGATTGGCGCTTTGCTCCCATCCCTCGCGGGCGATGTTTCTCCCCCAATCCCCGAGTTTCGCCCGAAAAGTCTGGCCGCTCAGAAGAATGGGAAAACCCTGGGATACACCCCAAGGGGGCTACTCGGACGCACCCCTATCGAGAATGGACACCCCCCCATCGTATATCCCAGGGTTAGGCCCCAAATTTCTGCTCCATTCGGAAACCCCACGAAGCCTGGGATAGGGGTCGACATATCCCCTGTGAATCCCCCCCCCAAGTGCGGGCCTTTTTTCTGGTTCCGAGTGTTTTTCGTCATCGCCGTCGCCCCGCTTCTTTTCCCCACCTCCACTCCCCCTGGTCCTCCTGCTCCTCCTGCGTCTCCCACTCCTGCTACTGCTGCTGCTTTCCCCCCTCGTCATCCTCCCTGCTCCTCCTCCTCCTCCTTTCATCCTCATCCTTCTCCTCCTGCTCCTTCTCCTGCTCCTCCTCCTGCTCATCCGCCTCCTCCTGCAGAGTACGCAGCTCCCCTTTTGTCACAAGCTGACGTCTGGCACCCATCTCAGATCTATGCGACCCCAAGATTTCTCTTGGTGGAATTCCGTGGGGGCTATGGTGCGTGTGTAGTCGGATGGGAGTCCCCGCTCGAACGGGAGCCCCCACCCCTCTCGGGGTCCGACAAGCCGAGCCCATACCCATAACGCCTTCATCTCCTTGCCCTTCCCCATTCCTCCTCACAGGTTGAGTTCGTGTTGTTCCTTCATCGTCCTGTGATTGCGCATGACACACTGGGGTCCATGCGCCATGACACCCGTCGGCGGATATCGGACAAACAACGCTGTCGGAAAGAATCGGCGGGAGGGGCAGGATGTCAGATATGGCGCGAGCGCAAATAGCTTGTTCTCCTCTCGCCTCTCTTCTCTCTCGGCTCTCTCACCTCTCTTGCCTCTCCCGTCTCCTCCGCCTCCATCCTTCTTCCTCCTCCTCCTCCTCCCTGCCCCGCATCGTCTCCTCCCCATCTGGTGTACTTGCGCACTGCCCTTCTCCTCCTCTCTCCTTCTCCTCCTCCTCCTCCTCCTCCTCCTCCTCCTCCTCCTCCTCCTCCTGGTGAATGTTTTGGTCTAGCAGGTTTGCGCCCCTGGAGGATCAATGGTCTTTCGCCGCTCGAAGCGGGGATCTCAGGCTCGGACGCCATCCTCTTCTGCTCGGCGTGTTGCCACCTTGCGGCCCACGCTCAACGGCGTGGGCTCTGTGCGCCCTGCCGGGGCCCCGGGAGGCCCGCTGGCGGCAAGGGCTCTCACGGTCAGGAAGAGGTTTCGTGTTCGGTTGCGCCCTGACGATCCCTCGGTGGCTCTCGATGAGCCTCGGACCCCGTCGGATTCCGCCCGTGCGAACTGGGCGGTGCGCTTCGGAGCCTGCCTGGGGTCGCCTGATTCCAGTGCCGTTTTGAATACATGCTCCGCGTGCGGATCATGTATTAAAAATGCAGGGATTTAGTATTCAAAACAACGATGAGTTCATGCATACATTTATTCATGAATTGATCATGTATTAAACGTCCTATATGTTGAAACATCCTATGTGTCAAAAACTGCCCCGTAGGTGCCCAGTCGGCTTCCTCCCGTTTCACGGCAGGCTGCCGCCTCCCGCCTCGATCTCCCAGCCTGTTTGATGAAGGCCTCCGGCCTCGAGGGCCGTGCGCAGGCGGAGGCCCCGTGGGCCAGGGTCGTCCAGGCCAGAGCGGAGGCCGCGTCCAGGCGTGCGCGGGGCACCCACGTGGCAGTCGAAAGAATATATATATATATATATATATAGAGAGAGAGAGAGAGAGAGAGAGAGAGAGAGACCTCGGCTGATCTGTGGAGGAGTGGGGTCGCCCTGTCGGGGGCCTGCTGCGGGGGACGGGGCCCCGCAGCAGGTCTGACAGAAGCCCCGTGGGAATGGCAGCCCCACCCCCGTTTTCCCTCTCTCCCCCATTGGCCTCTCCCTCTACGTATGGGCAGTGGACCTCCTCCTCCACCTCCCTTCCTCCTCCGGAGGAGGAGGGACATGCGTATCCAGGTTTGGGACGCTGGGCCAATTCTTGGATGAGAATGAGAAGGATAATGAGGATAATGTTGATGATGCTGCTGCTGATGATGATGCTGCTGCTGATGATGATGATGTTGATGATGATACTGATGCTGATGCTGATGCTGATGATGATACTGATACTACTGATGATAATGATGCTGCTGATGCTGCTGCTGATGATGGCGATGCTGATGCTGATGCTGATGATTGTGATGCTGATGATGCTGCTTCTTCGGATGATGATGATGCTTATGACGCTGATTATGATTCTGATTATGCTGATGCTGCTGATGATGATGACGATGATGATGATGGTGATGATGCTGATGATGCTGAGGATGCTGATAATGCTGCTGCTGATGATGATAATGCTGATGATGATGATGATGATGATGATGATGATGGTGGTGGTGATGATGATGCTGATGGTGATGATGATGATGAGGAGGATGAGGAGGATGAGGAGGAGGAGTAGGTGGAGGAGGTGGAAGAGGAGGGGTGTTTCTGGAGGTTTTCGGAGGTACGGTAGGTTCATGCTGCGAGGCCGCGCTGGCGAGGGCGTTCAAGTTGAATTCTTGCGACGCCAGAGCAGCGATGGACATGGTAACGCCTTTGGACCCACTCGAATTCAACCTGGAACGATTGGGGCCGCGATCGATTCAAGGTTGAACGATAGTCGCGATGTCAACATCCTTGCGTGCGCCGACGCCGCACGAACCTACCGTAGTCGTCGCTACGGCTTGACGCTGGTTGGGAAGCTGGTCAGGATGGCGCCTGGAATGAGCTTCGGGTCTCGTGGCTAGCTTCGAGCAGACCTTCGGACCAACGAATGAACGAAGGTGATGATGCTGCTGCTTGGGATGCTTCTGCTGCTGATGATGATGCTGATGATGCTACTGATGATGCTGATGATGATGCTGATGATTATGATGATGAGTATGAGGAGAATGACAACTATGACAATGACGATGATGACGATGATGGTGGCGCGGATGGTTACGATTGTGATGATGGTGAGGAGGAGGAGGAGAAGGAATCTGAGGAGACCCTCACTCACTTCTCCTCACTCCACCGTTTTTGTCCTACCTCCACCCTCCCTCCATAATGTCACACAATGAAGACTACTCTCCTCTCTCCCCTGATGCCGTCCGGAAGATACATGTTGCTCCCGCTGACGCGCTGGCCTCATTTTCGGGCTTCCGCTCGTTCCGAATCGTGCTCCTGCTGCAGCGATGGCCTCATTTCCGCGTTTCCGCTCGTTCCGAATCGTGCTCCCGCTGCAGAGGTGGCCTCATTTCCGCGCTTCTGCTCGTTCCGAATCGTGCTTCCGCTGCAGCGTTGGCGTCATTATTTCCAGTGCCATGCCACGGCATGTGGTACAATGCTATGAGGTGTTCCGCTGTGCGATGCCATGCCTTGAGCTGCAATGCTAGGATACACCGTGCTTGACCACGCAGTGCCACGCCATGCTATGCCATGCTACGCTTTGATCTTCAACGTCATGCTATGCCATTTTCCGTTCTGTGCCGCTGTGCGATGCCATTATCTGCGTTGCAATGCTTTGTGATGCAAGCAATTCTTCACTACGCAACGCCACGCCATGCTATGACATACGACGCTCTGCCGTGCTCTTCTACGCCCTGCTACGCCGTGCTCTACGATGCATCGCGTACCCTCTCGGGATCATTGTCCTGCTCGACATCCGACTGTGCAAGTAGAGAGAAGATCTACGCCATGGTAAAGAATGGGAGGGAGGGGTAGGACGTCAGATATGACGCGAGCGCGCCTAGCTTGTCCACACCCTCCCCCTCCCTCCTCTCCTCTTCCCTCCTCCTTTCCCCCCCCCTCTCTCTCTCTCTCTCTCTCTTTTTTTTGTTCTCTCTCTCTCTCTCTCTTTCTCCCTTTGTCTTTCTCTTTCTATCCCTCTTTCTCCTCCAGGAAGGCTTCGCTCTCTTTCTTTGAAGAGGGGTGGGGCTCGGGCCGGCGTCGTGAAGCTAGACGTAACCAGTCCTCTGGCGGAAGGCGGAGGGGAGCGACCCGAGGAGGGGGAGGAAGCAGAGGAGGAGGAGCAGGAGGAGGAGGTGGACGGGGAGGAGGAGGACAAGGAGGAATAACGAGATACGAGAGAGGATAAGAGAGAAGGAGGAGGAGGCGGAGGCCAAGGGAAGGAGGAGGACGAGGAGGAGGAGGCGGAGGAGGAGGAGAAGGAGGAGGAGGAGCAGGAGGAGTTTCAGAGGAAGATGATAAGGAGATCCGGAGGATGAAGAGGAAGAGGAGGAGGAGGAGGAGGAGGAGTCGGAGAAGAAGGAGGAGGAGGAGGAGAGCCGATCAGGAATGATGAGGGAGGAGGCATCCCGGCCCAGATTCACCTTGCGGACAACTACATCGAGCTCGGCAACGGTCAGCAGTTGGCCATCGTCAGCCATAACGAAACTCACATTGTCGGCACCGTAGTTGGCCGCATTCGGGCGACAGCCAGATCGGGCGATCGAGGTGTATCTCTAGGATCCCTTCAATACTCAGCGCAATCAGAACGTCAATGCCTTGCCGAAATCCTGTTGGAACGTGAGAGTAGGGAGCAGGTCAGGGAGGATGAGGGGTGGAGGCAGGAGGGAGGAGGTATTGGGCCGATGAGGTGCAGGAAGAAACGGCGGCGCCGGAGGGGACGGGGCAGAGGAGGAGGGGCGGGAGGAGAATACACCACAGTGGTGGCAGGTGTTTCCGCCCTCGTCCCCAAAGGGGGGGGATGTCACCGGTAGGCCGAGGCCGAGGATCCGAATCAGACTGAGGGGGCCGATCGGTCTTATACCATCCCTGCGTGCGTGTCTGAAGAGGGCTTGAACTTTTCATTTTTCAAACTAATTATGGTTGATCCCTTCCCTTCCGGGGCCCAGTGTGTTTTTCAACTGAAGTGCCCCTCGCGGGCTCGCACTCGTTTTGTCACAGAAGCGCGTCTTGAGGCTCAGATTGCCTTCCTGGCTCCGAACTGCAACAACAACGGCTTCCGCCGGATATTTCCCCACAGCTCATTTTAAACTGCGCTCTCGCGCGAGACATCCTCACAATTTATGCAGGAATCGCGCTCTTGTGGGACTCCTTCCCAGTTCATTGAGACGCCGCGTCCTCTACACTCAGGAATCAGGCTCTCGCTTTGGACTTCCCCAGGATTTGGGAATCGAGCCGTCGCTTGAGACTATCTCGCGATCCCTGCAGGGCTGATGCTCCGGCGACCCGCCCGCCCGACCCGGCCGTCCAGACCCGCCCGCCCGACCCGGCCGTCAGGGTCCGTCCGCCCGACCCGCCCGTCTAGTTCTACCGCTCGTTCTCCTGCTCCTCGCCCCTCCCCTGCTAGTCTCTCTCGTCCTCCATCCTTCTTCCTCCCCCTTGCTCTCTCCTTCCATCTTCCCTCCCTTCTCCTGCTCTGGGGGTTGCGCCAAGTGCGCACGGCAGGTAAGGGAGCTAGACCCCCACGGGGGGTTACAATCGAAGACGTAGAGGGCAGGTATCCAGGGCAGGAATCGTGTTGAGTGACACCCGAGGAGGGAAGAGCGAGCAGTCTTAAACTGATGGCTGACACTGTACTTCTAAAGAATGATTGCTGTTGATCCCCCCTCCGGTGCACCTGGTGTTTTCTTCCACTGGCGTGCCCCTCCTAGGGCCTGCACATTTTTTTTGTTTCGCAGACATGTCTTGCGCCTCAGACTGGTCTGCTGGCTCCCGAACAACAAACAGCGGCTCCCGCCCGCTGCCTCTCCACAGTTCACCCCAACTCGCGCTCTCGCGCGGGACCCCCTCCTACCCGATACGGGCATCGCGCTCTCGCGCGGGACGTCCTCCCCCAATGGATCGAGACGCCGCGCCCTCGACCCTCAGGATCCACGCCCTCGCTCTGGACCCCTCGCGCTGCACCTTGAACGTCGCGCTGCCGCCCCGCGATCCCTGCAGGACTGCTGCTCCAGCGGCCCGCTCGCCCGACCCTGCCGACTGGGCCCGCCGGCCCGGCCCGCCCGCGCGGGTACGCCCGCTCGGCCCGCCCGCTCGGTTCTGCCACCCCTTCTCTGCTCCTCGCCCCGCCTCCTGCCAATCTCTCTCGTGCTCCATCCCTCTCTCAGGAGGGGAAAAAGCACACACAGACACAATTAATCGTCCACTCCCAGGAAAATGTTGGAGAATATGGGAAGTGGGGGGGAAGACAAAAAACCCCAAACACATGGAGAAATATGGGGCATATTTTTATTTGTGTGTATATATTTGTGTGTGTCCTGGGGCCCCTTCATTCTCCCTCCCCCGTGTCCCTTCCTTCCATCCTCCCTCCTTTCCCCTGCCTCTGGGACTGCGCCAGGTACACCTGGCGGGCAGGAAACTTGGACCCCCACAGGGGTGTAAGCTCGAAGACGAGGAGGCCTGGTATCGTGCGCCTGGGATCTACGTGTGGAGTGGCACGCGAGCGTACAGGAGCGAGTAGTCTTAAGATGATTGTCGTTGCTTCGTTTTTGTGTCGTCGCCGCCCTCGCTCGCGACCCGCCCACCCGCGACCCGCCCGCGACCCGCCCGCGACCCACCTGCGTCCCACCCACACTGCTATAGCAGAAGTTCTGCGCCTGCGGCGGGCACACCGTGTACCGCGTAAGAATCGGTGCACACTGCGGGTTTCTTGAGATTGGGTCTCGAGCCTCGCAGCCGCCCCCGCCGCCCCCTCACCCTTCTCCGACACTGCGGGGGCCCCGACATTTCTGCCCACGACTCTCTCGGAGCACCCTGCGACGCCCGCGCCGCAGCGCAAGACGTGTCGTGCTCGAGGCTTACCGGGTCGAGACGCTGCGTGTCGGCTCCACACGTGGGCCTACGCTCTGGCGAAGGTGTGCAGCCAGGCGAACTGGAACGTATACATTACCAGCGGTGGGCTGTTTTTCAATCCCAGGATTTTTTGAGTGTCGGGGACGACGTCGGGGCGGTGTGGTGTATAGTTTTTGATCCGTTCCCTGGGAGAACAACGAACAATGTATACACCAGGGCCCCGTATACACCAGAATCCGCGCTCCTGTGCGAATTTCAGCGCAGGGTCGGGCAAAGCGTCGGTACATAGAGTTCGTTTCCCTAACACGTGTTCGATCTACGGGTTGAGCCACGTGCCAACACGCTCCGGGTTGCATGTCGCGGGTCAGGGCAGCTCAGATCGACTACACGTAAGAGTGACCTTTCGCCAGAGTGACCTCTGGTGCGGGCACGATGGGGTCCCCGATCTCCGATTGCGATGCGATAGTAGCGCCTTCCGCGCCTGAGTTTGGTCCCCCCGCGGCCCCCCAACGCCGCGCACCAAAGGTCACTCTTACAGTGCCGTTTTTGATGCATGCTCCGCGTGCGGATCATGTATTAAACATGCAGGGATTCAGTACTAAAAACAACGATGCGTTCATGCATAAATTTACTCATACATTAATCATGTATGGAAATTCCTATATGTTTTAAACTCTTATGCATTAAAAGCTGCCCTGTACCCAGGGTCACTCTTGCGTGTAGCAGCTCGGATGCCCAGGCCGTTGCAGTGTGAGGCTACCGGGCTGCCCCCCCGCGCCGCTGCCGGAGCGCTGCAGGTGAGCGAGGCGCGCGACGGCATGCTGGCCACGGGGAGGCAGCACGGCCTCCGGACCGAGAGCCCACCGCTTGGGGAGGTGGGAGGGAGGGGATATGGCCTCCTCGTCCCCCCTCCCCCCCCTCCCCCTCTCCCTCCTCCTCCTCCTCCTCCTCCTTCTCCTCCTCCTCCTTCTCCTCCTCCTCCTCCTCCTCCTCCTCCTCCTCCTCCTCCTCCTCCTCCTCCTCCTCCTCCTCCTCCTTCTCCTCCTCCTCACTCCCTCCTGGTCCTCCTCCTCCTCCTTCTACTCCTCTTCCCTTCTCCTCCTCCTCCTCCTCCTTAGAAGAGAAGAACAAACCTCCTCCTCCTCCTACCCTTCCCCTCCGCTCCTCCCCTCCCATGCTTCAAGAGCCATCCTCACCTCCTCCTCCTCCTCCTCCTCCTCCTCCTCCCCTTCCTCCTTCTCCTCCTCCTCCGCCTCCTCCTCCGCCACGTATTCATTTACCTCCGACGTCTTATTACGCATCCCGTTACTCTCGAGAGCCGAGGTATCCAGGGTCGGCGGCACTGGCCGTAAGGCCTTAGCAATACATGTGTATATATACCTATATGTATGTATGTATGTATGTATGTATGAATGCATGCATGCATGCATGCATGCATGCATGCATGTATGTATGTATGTATGTATGTATGTATGTATGTATGTATGTATATGTATATGTATGTATATGTATATGTATGTATATGTATGTATATGTATGTATATGTATGTATATGTATATGTATGTATGTATGTATGTATGTATGTATGTATGTATGTATGTATGTATGTATGTATGTATGTATGTGTGTATGGATGCATACATGTATGTATGTATGTATGTATGTATGTATGTATGCATGCATGTATGTATGTATGTATGTATGTATGTATGTATGTATGTGTGTATGTATGTGTATGTATGTATGTATGTATGTGCATGTATGTATGTATGTATGTATGTATGTATGTATGCATGCTATGCTTGCATGCATGATGCATGCTGCCCATGCATGCATGTATGTATGTATGTATGCATGTGTGTATGTATGTATGTATGTATGTCTGTCTGTCTGTCTGTCTGTCTGTCTGTCTGTATGTATGTATGTAATGTAATGTAATGTAATGTAATGTAATGTAATGTAATGTAATGTAATGTAATGTATGCATGCATGCATGCATGCATGCATGCATGCATGTATGTATGTATGTATGTATGTATGTATGTATGTATGTATGTATGTATATATGTAGGTATGTATGCATGTATGTGTGTGTGTATGTATGCATGCATGCATGCATGCGTGTATGTATGCATGCATGTATATATGTATGCATGTATGTATGTATGTTTACAGTATATCTACTTTCACGTGTATATATCTATATATACAGATGAGGATGATGGCGGCTTGGGGAGGAGAGAGAGTGAAGAGGGGGGAGGGTGGAGGGAGAGGAGGGGGAAGAGGGGTCACACCTCCTTGTCCATACGGGAACGCACGCAGTCTACAGCAGACATTTGCATTCATACTGTAGGTATGTTGCTAGATCGTACTCTAGTGAAACCTGTCTGCCTGCAGATATCACGCGCTACACAACTGGTCCTTTTGATGTGCCCACGGTGCCCGCGTCGTGCGTGCATGCGCGCTGGGATTAAGACAAAGGGAGGCGGGGAGAGGGGGGGTGGCGCCTGCTACAGCAATGGCTGCAACATTGGTTACACATTTGCTGCACACATTGTCTTTTTGGCTCCAACATCTTTGTAGCCGCCTGGGGACTCAAGTGTCTGGCTGCCGCAGATGTTCATGCCCTGGACCCGTGCTGCACAACCGCGCGGCGGCTGCAAGACAGCCGCCTCGGCTGCAGCAAAGCCGTTCCACTGTTCGTGGGGCACCCGGTCGGCCCCTCCCGGGTCCCCGCCGTGGATGTCTGCAGACCCGCGGGCCGTCGGCGCGCCGCCCCCCCCCTTGTCCGCCCGCGCGGCCACGGTGCGTGAGTGCACTCGTGCCATGGGCACGAGGTGTCTGCTCATCTGCCTCAGCGCGCGTCTTGCAAAGCAATCCGCGGCTCACATTTAGGCACGTCTTTTGTGGATATGCTGGCTGTCTTCTCGCAGTCTCTATCGTTGGTGACGCTGTGTTGTAGGAAGGGGTTCTGGCGACTGTGAGGGGAGGGGGATGAGGGAGAGGAGGGAGAGTAGGAAGGAGGGAGGAGGGAGGGAGGGAGGCAGGGAGGGAGGGGGGGAAGGAGGGAGGGAGGAAGGGAGGGAGGAAGGGAAAGGGGAGGAGTAGGAGGAGGAGAAGGAGGAGGAGGATGATGATGAGGAGGAGGAGGAGGAGGAGGAGGAGGAGGATCAGGAGGAGGAGTAGGAGGTGGAGGAGGAGGAGGAGGGGAGGAGGGGGGGGAGGAGGAGGACCGGTGTAAACTCAAGACTCATCAACGATGTTGGAATAAACCCTTCCTCCAAGGTCCCGCTTCATTTACAAGCGTCCATTTCCACTGAGGGAACTGCCTCGTTGGGAGACAACCGTTTCAAGAAGCATGCCAACACACCAGTCCCTGGGCTCCAACGCCACGGATCAATTTGACTGTTGCGTCTTGACGATCCTGAACCGTGCCGGAACACCATTCCTGGGATTTCAACACCGCGAAGCAACGTATCTGTTGCACCCTCACAATCTTGAATCCTTCCACAGCGCAGTTTCTGGTACGTTGACCATGGGAATCCGAGAAACTCTTGTAAGTTTTTAAAGCGAATGTGTGCGGCGCTGCGGCGATAGTCACATTTTGAAAACGAGCCGCCTTCAATCCGCGAAACTCTTGCAAATGTTTAAAAGGAATGTGCGCGGCGCTGCGGCGATATGAAAACGAGCCGCCTTCAATCCGTGAAACTCTTGCAAATGTTTGAAACGAATGTGCGTGGCGCTAAAACGAGAGCCACATTTTGAAAACGAGCCGCCTCTAATCCGTGAAACTCTTGCAACTGTTGAAAACGAATATGCGCTGCGCTGCGGTGATAGCCACATTTTGAAAACGAGCCGCCTTCAATCCGTGAAACTCTGGCAAATGTTTAAAACGAATGTGCGTGGCGCTAAGGCGAGAGCCACATTTTGAAAACGAGCCGCCTCCAATCCGTGAAACTCTGGCAACTCTTCAAAACGAATGTGCGCGGCGCTAGGGCGAGAGCCACATTTTGAACACCGCCCGGCCTCAATCCGTGAAACCCTTGCAAATTGTTAACGGGTGTGCGCGGCGCTAAGGCGAGAGCCGCATTTTGAAAACCACCCTCTCTCAATTTGTGAAATGGCTGTTAATTCTTAAGCTCCGGGGTCATAGGTGAGGACGTCACAGGCGAAATGCCCGGCCCGCCCTTTCGACTGGCCTCGGGGTGCGACAGGGAGGAGTTATCTATAAGGGGAAGGAGTGCCCCAGCGCGGGCGCTCGAGGTTGAACGTCGCCATTGGCCCAGAATCGACCAATGTGGAACGATCTGGCGGTCGAGAAGCCGTCGATCGTTCGGGCTTGAGCGATCCACGCGGTGTCTGAAACCGACGCCAGGGTCGTCACGGCACGAACCTGCCGCAGGTAAGGAAGGGGGTCAGCCAATCCTTTTTCTCATCCCCTATGACTGGCCCAGGTCTGGAAGCCACGCGGGGCCTTCCTTCCGCAAGCCCTGACTTGGGAGTTATTTCTTGGCCGTGGCCCGGGGTCGCAATGTGGGTCCAAGCCTCCCCGCAGTGCTGACCCGGGTCGCCCCCCCTCCCCCCCCCACACACACACACATCTTCCCTGGCCCCCGACCGCTCCACCACGGCGGTGCCGTCGTCGTCTTTCCATGCTCCTCGCCCCTCCTGGCACTGCCTGCTTCTGCCTCCCGGAGGCTGGTGGGGGACCAGCTGCACTGGGACATCTGCGAGGAAGCCGCCGCCACTTTCGCAGCAGGACGAGGAGGTGGGAGAGGGGGTGGAGGAGGAGGAGGAGGAGGAGGAGGAGGAGGAGGAGGAGGAGGAGGAGGAGGAGGAGGAGGAGGGGAGTGAGGAGGAGGCGGCGGAGGCCGGAGATGCGGGACGGAGGCGGTTGCGGAGGCGGGAGGCGGAGGAGGAGGGGAGGCGGAGGGAGGAGTAGGGGGGAGAGGAGGAGGGGAGGAGGAGGAGGAGGAGGAGGAGGAGGAAGGAGGAGAGAGGAGGAGGAGGAGGAGGAGAGGAGGAGGATGAAGAGGGAGGGCAGGAGGAGGAGGAGAGGAGGAGGAGGAGGAGGAGGAGGAGGAGGAGGAGGAGGAGGAGGAGGAGGAGGAGGAGGAGGAGGAGGAGGAGAGGAGAGGAGGAGGAGGAGGAGGAGGAGGAGGAGAGGAGGAGGAGGATGAGGAGGAGGAGGAGGAGGAGGAGGAGGAGGAGGAGGATGAGGAGGAGGAGGAGGAGGAGGAGGAGGGAGGAGGAGGAGGAGAGGAGGAGGGAGGAGGAGGGAGGAGCGGAGGAGGAGGAGGAGGAGAGGAGAGGAGGAGGAGGAGGGAGAGGAGGAGGAGGAGGAGGAGGAGAGGAGGAGGAGGAGGGAGGAGGAGGAGGAGGAGGAGGAGGAGGAGGAGGAGGAGGAGGATGGAGGAGGAGGAGGAGGAGGAGGAGGAGGAGGAGGAGGAGGAGGAGGAGGAGGAGGAGGAGGAGGAGGAGGAGGAGGGGAGGAGGAGGAGGAGGAGGAGGAGGAGGAAGAGGAGAGGGCGGAGGAGGGAGGAGGGAGGGGAGAGGAGGAGGGGAGGAGGGAGGAGGAGGAGAGGAGGAGGAGGAGGAGGAGGAGGGAGGAGGAGGAGGAGAGGAGGAGGAGGATGAAGAGGAGAAGGCGGAGGAGGAGGAGGAGGAGGAGAAGGAGGAGGAGGAGGAGGAGGTGGAGGAGGAGGAGGAGGAGGCGGAGGTTGAGGAGGAGGAGGTGCTCTTTTTTCGAATGCGTTCCTTGGCCTCCCCCCTCGTCCGCACACGTGAGCCCTGGGCTACGATTTGCTCTCCCCGCCCCTTCCCTTGCCCCCACCCCTCGGCGCACCCGATGGTATGCTTGTGCTCTCTTGCCGCTGTCAGGCCCCCAGCGGCCCGACGTCATGATCTTGTTCGCAGCGTGGCCTCCCTGGGGCTGGCTTCTCATCGCGAGTCCTTCTTCTGACGATCCTTGGGTCCAGCGCGGGCCCCCAGACGTGGAAAAACAAAAAAACACAGCCGTCGCGATTTTTAACGACGCGAGAAGGTTTGAGTCATCGGATCCCAGCAACCTCCCATGAAGCCATACGGACATGAATGGTAGCCACTTCAACATTTCCAAGCGTTCATGTCCCGAGCCTCTCCCAGCCCCCCGCCCCCGTGGAACGGAGCTCCACGCTACCAACCTGCAGCCATCGAGTGCCGCCGGGTCCGCCGCCGCGACGCGCCAGACAGACGTTCCCGACCGCAACCTTCCTCTCCGGAGTTCCCTCTTCGGCATACCCGATGGCATGTGCTGTCCTGCGGCTCTCAGATCCCTGCCCCCCCGCACCCCGTACCATCGTGCTGGCTCTTGCGGCTCGACGCTGATCGTCGCCAGTCGGCGCTCGACCGGCACTGGTCGACACCAGTCGACGCCAGATCGGCTCTATCTCGTCGATCCAGTCGCCAGGACGCGAGTGTACACGAAAGACGGCGCTGCGAGGATATACAAGGCTCCAATGGTCGCGAGCCTCCTCCTCCTCCGCCTCCTCCCCTTCCTTTTTTTCCTCCTCCTCCTCCTCCTCCCCCTCCTCCTCCTCCTCCTCCTCCTCCTCCTCCTCCTCCTCCTCCTCCTCCTCCTCCTCCTCCTCCCCCTCTTTCTCCTCCTCGTTGTCCTCCCCCCCCCCTCGTCCACACCCATCGCGCCAAGATGATGCGACATCGAACTGCGTCGAGCAAATATCCATAGCCCCCGTCCCCCCAACCCAAAGTTGACGGGGTTGGTTGCGAGGCAACGCGCGGGGGACAACATATGGACACCTCAACTTTGGCTTTGCGGGTGAGGGTGGGTGAGACACATATATGCATCAATATATATATACGCATATATATATAGTTGTGTACAAGTATATTGCAACTGTCGTTGCCATCATGCCTGATTGCTCCGCGCCGTCGGCGCGGACATTTTTTGTCCGGGCACCGCATTGTCTGCCCCCTCTGGGGCGCCCCGCCCTGGAGGGTTTCTCCGAAGGGCTTAGGCGACCCGTCCTCCTCCTCCTCCTCCTCCTTCTCCTCCTCCTCCTCCTCTGCCTCCGCCTCCGCCTCCGCCTCCGCCTCCGCCTCCGCCTCCGCCTCCGCCTCTGCCTCCGCCTCCGCCTCCGCCTCCGCCTCCCCCTCCGCCTCCTCCTCCCCCTCCTCCTCCTTCCCCTCCTCCCCCTCCTCCACCTCCTCCTCCCCCTTCTTCTCCACCTCCTCGGGTCGCCTGCGGCCCGGGGGGAAGCCGTGCACCCCGCCCCCAAGTCCGACTGCGAGCTGGAGCGCATGCCGGAGTACTTCGGACAGCTGACGGGTCTGCGCCAGCGGGCCGAAGAGGCGGGCAGCGCACCGGCCCCCCGCGGCCTCGTGCGCGCTCTTCCCCCCCGGGTACTGCGGGCATTCCAAAGAGTCGGGGATGGACAGACCTCCTACCCTGACACGTCGATTAGCGAATTGGCCGTTTTCGGTTCGCGAGAGGGCGTCGCGGCCGTCATGTTTGCGGGTCCAGGTCCGTCGGTTTCGGTCCCAGGCCGTTTTCACTGAAGGGAGGTTTACTAAAGGGAGGTTTGTCCACCACCGAAAGAGCCACAACCACACAGCCAAGTGGATTTCTCAGGACGACCCCTCGGGGCAGAAGCCACCGACATCGACGTGAGCACCTCGAGTTGTGGCCGTGGTCGGTCTGGCCGTCCCGGGACGCCACCCCGACCACAACCACTACCGAGCCGGTTCTGGTGCTCTGACGACCTGTTTCGAAGAAGAAAAAACAGCATAAACACAATTTTTTGGCGCTTCGCACGGATTTCTAGGATTCGCGTCTGGGTCCCCCGGCGGCGCCTCCGGCGCCGCCCCTGGCGCGCTCCGCGCGCCGTTGGACCCCCCTCCCTGGCGCGCGGGGCGCGCCAGGGGCGGCGCCGGAGGCGCCGCCGGGGGGCCCAGACGCGAATCCAAGAAATCCGTGCGGAGCGCCAGAAGTTTCTGTTTATGTTTATGTTCTTGTTGTTCTTCTTCTACTATTGGCACGCCCAAGATATCCCCCCCGAGGTGCGTCCTTGACATGGTGGTAGTCGCCTGCTGTCCCCGCACCCCCTCCTCCTGGAGTCCGGCGCGTGCGCGCCCGCGCGCTGCGCGGCGTCTCCACGGCGCCCAGTCCGGCCCCTTCCCTCCTCTCCTTCCCGCCCTCGCCTCCCGCCTCTTCCCTCCTCCTGCCTCCCCCTCCACCCCCTCCTCCCTCTCGCCCTTCTCCCCCTCCCCGTTCCATCCTCCTCCCTCCCTCCTCCCTCCTCCTTCCTTCCTCCTTCCTTCCCCCTCGTTCCTCTGCCCCTCCTCCCCTCCCCCCCTCCTCCTCTCTTCCTCCGCCCCTCCTCCGCCCCTCCTCCCCCCCTCCTCTCCTCCCGCCTCCTTCCCACGCTCGAGCCCGCGGCCCTCCTGCCCCGGCAGCTCTCCCCACCGCCCCGCCCACCACGCAGCGCGCAGTCGTCTGGCCGGCGGGGGGCCCGCGCCTTCCCGTGCGTGGGCCCACGGCCGTCAGCTCCAGGCAGCCCCGGAGGAGGAGGAGGAGGAGGAGGAGGAGGAGGAGGAGGAGGAGGAGGAGGAGGAGGAGGAGGAGGAGGAGGAGGCGGAAGAGGAGAGGGAGGAGGAGGAGGAGGAGGAGGAGGAGGAGGAGGGGAGGAGGAGGAGGAGAGCAGAGGAGGGAGGAGGAGAGAGGAGGAGGGGAGGCGGAGGCGGAGGAGGAGGAGGAGGAGGAGGAGGAGGAGGAGGAGGAGGAGGAGGAGGAAGGAGAGGAGGAGGCGGAGACGGAGGAGGAGGAGGAGGAGGAGGAGGAGCAGGAGGAGGAGGAAGAGGAGGAGGAGGAGGCGGAGGCGGAGGAGGAGGCGGAGGAGGAGGAGGAGGAGGAGGAGGAGGAGGAGGAGCACGGCACGGCCTCCGCGGCGAGGGCGAGCGGCCCAGGCCGTCGCGCCCCCGCCGCCGCGGCCCGTGCCCATTCGGCCTTCGGGCCCCCCGCCCACGGGCGGCAGCGCCCGCGGCGCGGCCTCCCCTCGCGGGCGGCCGCCGGCGCGGTGGCCGCGGATCGGGCATAGCCCTGGCATCGCTCGGACGTGTGCATTTTTTCTCGGCGAGAACCATCGAGGAGCATCCTTGATCATTTGACGAAAAAACCACGCACGAAACCAACAAAAACGCAGGGAATGGACGTCCGAGCGATGGCGAGTGCCAGGGCCCCAGGTAAGGGGACTCAGTCAGCGGTATGGCCCTGGAGCCCTTAAATTGGCCAGAATCTTTCATGGAGGATGACGATTAATAAATGACCGGGGGTCGTGTTCACGCGGCGGCGCCCGGGATGACGATTAGAAAAAACCGGCCGCGGGCTGGGAAACAATTTTTTTATCGTTCTCCTCCAGTCAGAAAATTACGCAGAAATAGCAGACAACTATATTTTAATCGTTCTCTCCCAGTTTTGTATAAATCTTTATCCCGCATTAAACCAGGTCTGCCGCAGCTGGTGTTTTTTCGTGTGACGGCAGTTCCGGTTTGTGGAACGGGGCGGGGGGGCGTCCCCCAGTACGCATCACGAAACCAGGTCCCACTAAACCCAGTTCTGCCAACGCCCGAGCGGAGAGCCCCCCGCGAACTGCGGCGCGGGTCCCTACCTTGAGTCGGGCCTGTCCCCCTGCAGTTGGCGCTAACGCGCGTTGTGAGGATCGTCGAGCAGAGGCCGCGCAGCGTGGCGAGTCTGTTCGGGCGGCGAGGTCCGAAGCCTGCAGTGGAAGCCCATATGCCAAGCAACACCCTGCTCGCCTCCAGGGCTCCCCTGAAATTTTGGGGTTTCGATGATTTTGCTATGTTCGGGGGAGCGTAAGACCCGGGTTTGCCAGGACTCGGGTTCGCCATCGTTTTTTGACGACCGCGATTCGGATTTTGACGAGTAGGAGTTTCGTGGGGTGTCTGCAGTGGGAGGCCTCGTCAAAATGCAGGCTCGGCCTCGTCATTTTTTTGACGACCTCGTCGGGGATTTCCGAGTCCCCCGTACCCGGGTCTTACGTCTCCCCGATATGTGAAGCGTGACGTTCCCACACCAGGAATCAATGGACGCCCTGGGGTCTCAGGGCTGGGTTTCCTGTGGAAGGTTTCTGCGCCCTCGCCCATCAGCGACCCAGGCAGCTCGACGGGCGGCGGGGGCAGGGTTTGGAATTTTGCCGGACACGTGGCGAAATCCGAGCCCTACCCCTGCCTCTCATCGGCTCCGGATAAAACAGGGCTAGGATCGGGACAAATCGCTCCAGAGCGTTCCGGAGCGCTCTCAGAGCGTTCCGGAACGCTCTGGAGCGGCCGCGGCGCCCAATACATCCTCCAAACCGCGGATTCTCAGAGATTTCGAGTTATCCCGATCCGATTTTGTCCCGATCTTCGCGTCGTTTTACAGGAGAAGCCATGGGGTCACCGCACGGGTTTGGGACTCGGGCCGTTCTCCGAGGACGTCTCGGGCGATCGGAGCCTCCGGGGCCCCTAAGATCGTGCAGTGACGGGCCGCCCGGGGAGGTCTCTTTCAAGCGGGAAAAAAACGCACAGACACAATTAATCGACGATCCCCAGGAACATACGGGAAAATATGGGAAGTGGGGGGGAAGACAAAAACCCAGAAAATATGCGAAAATATGGGGAAGTGTTTTATTTGTGTGTGTATTTATTTGTGTGTCCCAGGGCCCCTTCACTCTTGGGACTTCGAGGTAATTAGCCGCGCGGTCCGTCGCCACACAGTTTTGGGGCAGGGCCCTGAAGGGGAAAGCGCACCGATGCCGCTGCTCGTTCTGGAGATCCCTCGTCGCCACGGCCGTGTTCGCCTCGCGAAGTTCTGGTCAGAACTGCACCCTGGGACGGGTCGGTTCTGGCATCTGCTGTGGTTCCCCAGCGGCTCCTCGCTGTGCCATTCTGCCTTTGCCCCTTCGTTCATTCTTTCAGCCTCGTCTCCGCGCCCCCCCCCCCCCGCTGCAGGGCTTGGGTGCAACGCCGGCGCAGGGCACGGAGGGCTCGGTGCAGATGCCCGGGATGCAGGAGGGAAAGAAACACACAGACACAATTCATCGACGATCCCCAGGAAAATATGCAAACATACTGGAAGTGGGGGGGAAGACAAACACCCCGAAAATATGGGAACACATGGGGGATCCTTTTTATTTGTGTGTATTTATTTGTGTGTCTCAGGGCCCCTTCAGGGATACCTCTGCAGTGCTGCCCCGCAGCCGGGCGAGAGAGAGAGGCCGCGCGCCGTGGTGCTGCTCCCGGTGCAGTGCAAACCGCTGGCCCCCCGGGGGCCCTGCCCGCTGGCCCGCAGGGGAGAGCAAAAGCACGAGGAGGAGGAGGAGGAGGAGGAGGCGGAGGCGGAGGCGGAGGCGGAGGAGGAGGAGGAGGAGGAGGAGAGAGGAGGAGGCGGAGGAGGAGGAGGAGGAGGAGGAGGAGGAGGAGAGGAGGAGGAGGAGGAGGAGGAGGAGGAGGAGGAGGAGGAGGAGGAGGAGGGGAGGAGGAGGAGGAGGAGAGGAGGAGGAGGAGGAGGAGGAGGAGAGGAGGAGGAGGAGGAGGAGGAGGAGGAGGGAGGAGGAGGAGGCGGAGGAGGAGGAGGAGGAGGAGGAGGAGGAGGAGGAGGGGAGGAGGAGGAGGAGGAGGAGGAGGAGGGGAGGTAGGAGGAGGAGGAGGAGGAGGAGGAGGAGGAGGAGGAGGAGGAGGAGGAGGAGGAGGAGGAGGGGGGGGGGGGGGAGGGCAAGAGCACAGCAGGGCTGGCCGGCCCGGCCTCTGGGGCCACCGCGCCCTGGCTGGCCGAGCCGGGCCGAGAGCTCGGAGCGCCAGGCGGCCGCCTCGGCGGCGCAGGGCAGGAGGGGCCCTGCGCCGCCGGAGGCGGAGGGGGCGCCCGCGAGCTGACTGCTGCGGCCCCTGCTACTCCTCCCCCCCTCGCCTCAAGTCGGGCGTGTCCCTCTACAGGAGGAGGATGAACAAATAGTCAAACAATACCTGGGGGCCGTTCTTCTATTCTTCTTGAATTTTGCTTCCTTTCGATGACCAGATCCTCCTGCAGGAGGACACGCCTGACCTGATGATCCTCCCCCCTCGCCTCGGCGCCGCCCTGCCTCAGCCCTCGCTGCCGCCCCGTGCACCGGCGGGGCCGAGGGCCGTCTCGCGCCCGGTCCGGAGGGCGCGGGGCGAGCGCCGTGGGGCTCTTCTCCTCGGCTATAGGGCGCGGCGGCCGCCCTGTGGACGTGCAGGGCGCGGGCGTCACCACAGTCGAGCACCTGATGGAGGAGCCTCCTCCCGAACAGCTGGGCCACCGTTTCGCAACCGGCGTGCCGGAGAGCTGGCCCAGTGTCCTGAGCACGTTCGCCCCTCCAGCGTGGACGGCAGAGTGTTGGCCCAGGTCCGTCTCGAGCAACTTTGGGAAGCTGGCCCAGGTCTCTAAACTGATATTTTTCTTGATCATATTTTCGGTTGGCTCGGATGCAACTCCGGTGTGGTCATCTTCTGACTTCGCCCTGGTCCGGAATCCGGCTTCATCCGGCATGTCGCTCAATCCGGCTTAATCCGGCTGAATCCGGCTGAATCCCGCCTGATCCCGCTTAATCCGCGGCCTAATCGGACGTAGCAGCCCCCCAATTTGGCCTAACTCTCCCCAATCCTTCCGACGAAGACCTCCCAGTAGTTGCCTCCTAAGGTTGTAGTGCTGAGGCCACTCGCGCAGGACTCCGCCCAAGAGAGCTTGCTGCGGCTTGGGCCCGCAAGGACGCGTCGGTGATCACCACGTCGGCGTAGGTTCGGCGTCACCCCAGCATACTTATACTCTATGTGCGTCGCCCCCCCAGGGGCGACGCGCGCACCGAGACATCTTGTAGTATATGCGTCGTTTCGGGCTCTTTCTGGCCACGCCGCTGGGGGAAGGATATACTACAAGATGGGTATACTATCTGATCGGGTCGGACGCGCGCCTCCGAGGAGGACATATATCACACAGTGACGAAGCTCCCCGGCGTGCCTATAGCCCTACCAAACTGTGTTCTAAGAACCTGTTGTGGTTTCCACGAAATGTTCTTAGAACATTTCTGGCTGGGACTGTCCTGTTTTATCACATCGGGCTTATGGTCTAAGAACATTGCTTTGGTTCTTAGCATATGTTTGGGTTCTAAGGGCATTTCGTGGTAGGACTACAGGAATGCCGGGACGGTCGGCCCCTGCTCAAACATAGTACCAGTATGTCCCTGCGCGTCCCGTGGGTGGCCCCTGTGCCCGTGGTCGGGTCGGTGAAGGCCACGCCCAGCCGCGCGGCCTCGAGGGTGCCGTCTCTGGGCGCCGTCTGCCCCGGGCGGGGGCGACCTGCGGGGTCCTCGCGCCCCGGGCGCCCCGCGCCGGCATCCAGCGCGCGAGCCAGGCGCGGATCGGCTAGACGTAAGAGTGACCTTTCGCCGGAGTGATCTTTGGTGCGGGCACAGATGGGCCCCCAGATGGCTGAACGCGATGCGATAGTAGCGTCTTGCGCGCTCGTGTTGGGCCCCCCCGCGGCCCCCCAAAAGCCGCGCACCAAAGGTCACTCTTACCCAGGGTCACTCTTGCGTGTAGCAGAGCGGACGCCCTCGTGCTTCAGCACAATCTTGCCTCCCGCCAGGCGGCCCAGGGGATGCCCAGGTTCTGCGCGCAGGTCGGCCCTGCAGCAGGAGCTGTACTTGGGCGGCGTCGGCGGCAGGTTGCGCTGGCCCCCGGCGGCAGGGGCAAGCGGAGCCGCATGGCCAGCGCGGGCTGGAAGCGCTCGTTCGCGAGATCGTCATGGCGCCAACTTCGCAGAGCGGATTCCGTTCGGAAAACAGTACACTGGGCCCAGATAGTCCTGGAGAAGTTCGTTCCAGATTTCGAAGTGATTTTTTTTGCTGCCCAGGAATGAAATCGCTTCGTTACCACTTCGTGCAATCCACTTCGTTTTTCGCTCGCAGTTTCGGGGTTTTGCATCGACAACAAAACCACACAAACATCCGCTACACTCTAGGCGATGCTTAAGAAAACCCAAGTTTTCGGCCAGAGTCTCGATTATTCTTAATGTTTCAAGGTAGATCCTAAGCTTTGAATAAACATTCTGGGTTTTTATTCAAGTTCTGAGACCATGAATTTCTTAACCCATGATTTCTTAAGCATTTCGCAGGGTGTACAGCACGTCTGCAAGGTCGGTGCAGTGGGAACAGGGTCCGGCTTCATGGGTGGGAGGAGAGCCAGGTGCCGGCGCCCTTCCCGCTGGCCGAGCGGGGGCTCGCCTGCTGCGGTGGCGGCAAGGATGGCTTCATGGGTGGGAGGAGAGCCAGGTGCCGGCGCCCTTCCCGCTGGCCGAGCGGGGGCTCGCCTGCTGCGGTGGCGGCAAGGATGCGATCTGGGGAGCGCGGCGCCGCTCCCGCGCGGCGCCGCTCCTCCCCCTCTTGTGGATTTGAGGTACAAAGTAGAGGGGGACTGGGTGGGGTGGAAGAAGTGGTGGGGGAGGGGCAGGAGGAAGCAGAAGCAAAAAAAAAGAAGAAAGAAGGAGAAAGAAGGGAAGCATGACCACACCACTCATGCGCACTAAAACAAACGCCAAGACACCTCCATCCGTAGTGCTCATCCTTCACTCTTCCTCCTCACCTCCCGGCTATTCCTACACTGGCCGCCTCCTCACCGTGCACCACATCCTCCTCCTCCTCTCCTCATCCTTCCTCCTCCACCCCTCCCCCGCATCCCTCATCCTCCTTCCTCCTACCCTATCCTCCTCCTCATCCTAACTCCTCCTACTCCTCCTGGTCCTCTCCTCCTCCTCCTCCTCCTCCTCCTCCTCCTCCTCCTCCTACCCTTCCTCCTCGTCCTCCACCTCCTCCGCCTCCTCCTCCTCGTCTCCCTCGTCTAGCCTACAGCCGAAGCTCATGTCTGAGGCTGGGGGGTGAGAACGCAGTTGCCCCTAACAGGAAACCGGTCTCGGTTTCGGTTTCGCTTCGTGTCTGGCGTGCGAGCGAGGCGGAGCTACGCCGGGGCGACGGTGTGTGGACCGCGGCCGGGGCCAAGTCGGGCAATGTGTTTCGCCCTCTGGTGTCTCGAGCTGGGGCCTGGCTTTGTCCCGTGGGCTGTCTCGTGGCTGTCCCGTCGGTGGTCCCCCGTGTGTCAGGAGGGAAGGAAACACACAGACACAATCATTCGTCGATTCCCCAGAAAATCTAAGAAAATATGGGAAGTGGGGGGGAAGACAAAAAGCCAGAAAATATGGGAAAATGTGGGGGATCCTTTTATTTGTGTGTATTTATTTGTGTGTCCCAGGGCCCCTTCAGTGTTGTGCCCGTGGGCCGTCCCGCGGGTTCTCCCGTGGGCTGTCCCGTCCGTTGTCACCTGCTGTTGTCCCGTGGGCTGTCCAGCGGTCGTCCAGTGGCGGTCCCGAGTTCTGCCCCGTGGTTGTCCACGAGAGTCGTCCCGTGGGCTGTCCCGTGGGTTGCTCCGTGGTTGTCCCGAGGTTGCCCCGTAGGCTGTCCTTCATCACCACCCACCAAACCACCCCAACCCAACCCGAAGGCCTCAATTCACCCTCCATTTCCAGTGGGGGGAACGTTGAAAAAACACATGGGACCCGTACACCCCCCCAACCCGAAATTCGGGTCAAATTCGGGTCTTCGGGTTGGGTTGGGTTGGTTTGGTAGGTAGTCATTTTAGGTCTGGTTGTTCCGTGAACGTCCCTTTGCTGTCCCGCGGTTTATCCCGTGGCTGTCCCGTGGGTTGTTCCGGCGTTGTCCCGTGGGTTGTCCAGTGGGTTGTCCCGTAGTTGTCTGGTGGGGTGTCCCGTTGATGACCAGCGAGCTGTCCCACGGTTGTTCGTTCAGTGGTTGCCCCGTGGGAATTGCACATCGAAGTGCAACTATTGCAAGTCGACTTGCGTGTCGAACTACACATCGAAAAGCAATTCGACATCATCTACATGCCAATCAACTTGCATATCCAATTGCGAATTGTCTTTCGAAGCGAAATGCGCATCCAATTGCAATCATACTGCACATCGAGACGGGGATGGACATGAACATATGAATGCACATCGGAATGTAACTCAACATGCATATTGAAGTTCACATTCAGCTGATCATCGAAACGCACATCGAATCTCGAATCTAAGTCGAAATGTAGCTGGATATGCACGTCGACACATTAACCGGCATGCCAGAATTAACATCCATATGTCTGTCGCAATGCAAATGTACATGTAATAACCATAGAGTTTCCACTGAACGTTCATTATCGACATGGTATGGACTTGACAATGGAGCTGTGAATGGAGATGCAAGTCCAATTGCAAGTAATTTGACATGCGCACTTAAGTGCATTTCCAGTTGCAACCGAAGTGCGCATTAAAGTGCATCTCGAGATGAAACCTACTCCCCTTCCCCAACATTCTCATGAGTCCCGAAGTGTGGTCGCTGATGTCGCAAGTATGTAGTATTTCGTCAATGCCGCCGGTGCATCATTGCCTCTCTGGCTCATCCCTCGCCGTAGATCCCGGGGTTGTTGGTCTGATGCCACTGCCACTGCTTCCGCGTAGACGCTCAAGGGTATTACTTACATCTCCTTTTGCATCCTTACTGTGGTTTGACTGTAGTCCCCCTCCTCCTCCCCCTCCTCGTCCTTCTCCTCCTGCTCCCTGCCTCTCCTCCTCCTCCTCCTCCTCCTCATTCTTCCTCTTCTTCTTCTCTTCCTCCTCCTCCTCCTCCTCCTCATCCTCCTCCTTCTCCTCCCCCTCCTCCCCGTCCCTCTCTCCCTTCCCCTCCCCCCTCCTTGCCTCCCCCCTCCTCTCTTCCTCCGTCGTGGGGCCCCGCCCCTCCTCCTCCCACCTCCTCATCCTCCTGACTTTCCTTTCCAGGGGCTCCAGGGATCGTCCACATCGAGTTGGGCTGGTGCCGACCGAGTAGAGAGCATACGTGAGAGGTGGGCCATGGAGAGGAGCCGCATGGCGCGAGGAGGCCTGCGCAGACTCGTGGACAGTTGTGCTGGCGTGTCTGCCCTTTGTAGTAGCTGGTGCCCCTTTTGTGGCCCGGTCGCCGCCGCGCCGCCCGAGGTGGTAGCCCTCGGCAACGCCACCAAGCGCACGACCTGGTGGCAGGAACCGACGTGGGGGACGCAAAGGGCTCTTTTCGTGTTGCTTTCATTTACGACGGAGCGGCTCTTGGGGTGCCTTCATTCTCTTGGGGAGGAGGAGGAGGAGGAGGAGGAGGAGGAGGAGGAGGAGGAGGAGGAGGAGGAGGAGGAGGAGGAGGTGGAGGTGTGCTGTCGGAGTGGCTGCTGCCGCCACCTTCGTTGATGCCTTCGATGCCCAGGACTTGCCCCGGCAGCACGACCGGGCGGCTCGGTGTACACCTTAGGCGATGCTTAAGAAAACCTAAGTTTTCGGCCAGAGTCTCGATTATTCTTAACGTTTCAATGTA